GGTGTGGTGTTGGCAGGTAAGATACCCAGGGCTTTATGTGCCATTGATTGAGCCACATCCCCGATCTAGGTTTGGATGTCCGACAAAACAACTTGGTTCCTCTGGCCTGCTTCAAGGTTCCTTGGCCAGCTTCGAGTTCCATGAACTTTCTTGCAGCCAGCTCCATGAATTTCTCCATATTTATGAACTTCTGGTTGCTCGAGCTTGTAAGGGAGCTCATTATATCTCTCAATCAGCCATCAGATCACCCTTTACTAGAATTGATGGGGGCTGCGCCAGACTGCTGGAACTGCCGATGCTACTGTTGTGGAGGAAAATACTACCCCTGTATGGGATGGTAAGGTGATTGATGCTTCTAGAACAGAACTAGGGTTCCTCAAAAGTTCATACAAGAAAGATCCTAACACATGGTTTCCTCAAAATCTAAGTGAAGGGAAGTTACTCCATAGAGAAGAGAGAGAACGCAGAAATCTTATCTAAATCTTCAATCTCCATCTACAAGCTTGATTTTAGAGCTCCAATGGCGAGAAATCCTCCAAAATAGCTCCAATAATGTTCCCAAGTCGTTTTCTCTCTCTAGGGTTCGTCCCTTAGGTGTTTGGGATGAATAGAAGAGTAGAAGATGGGTTGTTGTCTCTTCCGGCTAGAACCTTTAAAACATTGGATGGCCTCACTCATTCCTTCCTAGAGGAATACGTTCATACATAGAAAGCTGGCAGCATTAATGATCAAATCTGGAGGTTCAAACAAAAAAAGGATTATACATTTCATAAGACTTGGGACCATTACCAAGGAGTAATCAGATCCTGCTCTCATCATGTGTATAGCCAAGAACAAGTAGCAACTGGTTCTATACAATCTAGGATGATTTGGATCAAGCATTTGACAAATCTGGAGGACCAAAGGAGGAAAAGAGAGAGAATAAGGAGTTTTCATGTAAAATACAAGGTCCAAAAACGGTGAAATCTTCTGGGAACCACAACTAGGACCAAGGAGGAGCCCAATGGAAGAAGACTCGGCCAAAGCCAGAGAAAGAATTAATGGTGGCCCAGTGTCGGGTCCAGCCGCCCCTATGCATACTTGTTCAAATCATGAAGAAATCTCGAGAAGAGTGATAAACACTATAATTTGTGTGTCATCATATGGCTTCCAATCGTAATTGGTAAAGTGCAGTATTTAATAGTTATGGCGAGATCAACATTTCCATCCAACCGTCTTATTACAACTACAATTGTGTACCATAAACGAAAGCAATTGGTTTATTATGAATAAGATGACTCATGATATGTTCTTGTTTACACCAAAATATTTTTCCATTAAATACCACTTGGGTGATTTTGGACAGCTGGGCCATATATGAGGTTTGTCTTGCTGGACTGTATAATTGGTGGGTAGTAGCTATGAGTGAGTTGACCATCAATAATTTGGTCATCAATTGTCCAGTCTTACAGATGTTATCCAACACAAGTGGATGGTACCATCTTATATAATGGACACCATCCAAACTCATAGTGGATGGTGACCATCACATTATGGATACCATTCCAACAATATGGTGGATGGTACCATCCTAAATATCATGGACACCATACCATATAGTGGACACCATCCAACCTCTTAGTGGATGGTGACTATCCCACATCATGGGTATCATCCCAACAATATGGTGGATGGTACTATCCCAAATAACAAGGACACCGTCCAAAGGACTAATTGGATGGTGACCATCACATATCATGGATACCATCCAAAGTACTAGTTGGATGGTAACATCCATGTTGAAATAGGATGACGCGGTGACGTGTCTATAGACTTCTTGGCGACAACTGACTTGCGTAAGGGATAGAGAGCAGTTGGACAAATCTTGGCAACAAAACTTGAAGCAACATCCTATAGCAGGGCAGACAAACACAATCCAACACAAAGACAACTTGTCTCAACTTTCCCTTTTTCCTTTTTCTCTGTAGTTTGCGGAACTCTCCTTCGTGAAGGATCCTCCATAGCCGTAATCTTAGTTCTAGTTGCGGAGCTCTCAATAAATCTTCATAGGAGTAGTTTAAGGTAACGTAGATTCCCCATACACCAAACACCCTCGTTCAAACAGTGTTTAAAGAGGTGTGGACCGTAGTAATAATCGTCACATTCATAGAAGTCAGGCACAACCCATCCACCCATTTTTCCACCGATAACAGTTCTATAATAGTCAATTAGCCATGCCTATAAGGCTATATATAGCCAGTTCTATAATAACGTTTACTATAGACTATGTCTTAGTTACTCAAATAACAAACTCTTAAGTCTTAACCCATAATATGTAAAGATTGTGATAATCACAGTAGTAAATAATTAAGTATATGGAAACACAAATTAAAAGTCGACTCCTTCTTCTTTTCCAAAAAAATGAAAACACCAAACTTCTCCTTTTTTTCATTCAAAAAATTTGAAAACATAAAAATTTCACACTTCTCTCTCCTCTCATAAATCAAAAGCACCAAATTCTTTTTTTCTTTTCCCAAATAACGAAAGCAACAAATTTTCATTTTTATCTTCACAAAAAGTTGAAAGCACCAAAATTCTATCTTCTTTTAAAATAATCAAATTACCAAATATATTGTATTATTCTATTTATATTTAAATCATAATTTTTTTGAATAGTTAAATTAAGGAGAACTTTAATGTATATATATATACTATATTATGAGATACATTATTTCAATTTTGAATTATTCATTATTAAATATTTTCATTGTACTAATTTTACATCTCGTACTTATTTTTTTATTGTTTTACTAAAGAACTTAATGTTCAAGTGAATTTCATGTTATAATTTTTGTCATTCTATTAACAGTAAAACATTCCAAGTGAAATTCATATTTTGAGCTTAACTTTACCAAATGAAAAAAATAGATTTACCTAGGCTTACGATAACACCCAAATCAAGGTTATCTAACCTCCACTTTCTAGGTTTTTACGTGCTAAATCATTATATCTAGGCCACATTCCAAGCTAGTTTATGCTAATATGTGTTCCTATGCATATACTACGAGTTTTAAAATGAGTAAAGTTGCTATGAAGGTTATTCATTGGGAAACTATCCCATTTTGTCATGTTTTATACTTGCTTGGTGTTTTTTTATGATGTTATGGGTCCTAATACTGGTCAACAATTGATTGGGATGGATTAGTCTCAACCGAGCACGTTTGCATTGCATATGAGCAAGAAAATATGACTTTACACAGGTGGTGACCCTTGGGCTTGACATTCCCCGGCAAAGGAAAATCGAGCAAAAATTTTCACGACGCAACCTGCAACTAAGAAGGATTCTTCCTGCGAGAAAGATCACGGTTGCGACTTTGTGATCACGGCAATGAACTCAGAGATCAAGGTAGGGTTCTCGACTCTCGTGAACGAAGTCAAAACGCGGAGGAACATGACCATTTAATATCTTTTTGCAGGTCACAGCTGTAACGTGCCCATATTTCACTGTAAAGGTCCATTTCAACATTTGACGAAGGAGAGTGGACCTAGAGTGAGAAATCGTTTTTTTGAGCTACTTTGAGAGAGAAAAACACATTGGATGAGTCAAGAAAGGAAGAAGAAGAACCCCCCCCCCCCCCCCCCCCCCCACAGTGGCGGATCCAGTAATTCTACGTAGGAGTGTCCTCTATAAAAAATTAAATTAAATAATTATTAAAAACACAATAACAAATGAGTTGTAGCGTAATTGAAAATATATTAACTAATAGTGGCAGTGTCCCAAATTTAAATCCACAAACTACTACTTAAATATTATTTATACCAATACGCAAACTACTACGGAAATTGGATAATCATTTTTCCAAATTTTAAAGGTGTCCCACTACCACTTAAAAAAAAAATTTCTCATATGAAAATTACTATCGTAGGTTGAATAATCGTGTTTCCAAATTTTAGGGGTGTCCCGGGACACCCCTAACCATGCATGTATCCGCCACTGCCCCCCCCCCCCCCTCCCCTAACCCCACAATGCTCCTCCTCATCCTCCATTGATGGGCTAAGTGAACCCTAGCTCAATTATGTAATTGAATGTGGATGAAATTGGTACGCATTAACCCTGATTATTTATTATGACCATTTGATGTTCGATTATGTTAATCTCTTGATTTAGTAAAGGTAACTGATTGAATTTTCTTAACCTAAGTGAGGTAACAATCCCCTTAGGTTGACATTAGAACCAACATCATCTAGTATGAGATTAAATTGCATGACCATTGAATTGAAGTATCATTTTTAAATTGCACCAACTCAATTCGTAACCTTCTAAGGGATCGGTTTGTTCATGGGTACTATCACTACAACAAAACAGTGATTTAGCGACGGTTTTCTGCACTGTTAGCGACAGTCAAACCCGTCGCTAAATAATTTAATGACGCCCACCCGACCGTCACAGACCCAGCAGTCCTTAAATTTTTTCGTGACGCTTTTGGTCGACCGTCGCGCTGACCGTCGACAAACATTAGCGACGCTGATAACCATCGTTAAATACAAAAAAAACCGTCGTTAAATAAATAGCGCGAAAGAAAGATTAAATTACATAACAACGGTTTCGACCGTCGCTAATGGTAACTAACCGCCGCAAAATGAGCAATTTTTTTTTTTTGAATCACCTGCTCTTATACACACCTCAAATCTGTTGAAATTTTCTCCAATACCAACATTTAGCAAATTTAACTAAGAAAACCATTCTGACTTTGAATTACCAAATCAACACCTTAAACCCCCAATCAACAATATAAACCATCAGTGAACATTCCTTCAATTCAAAAACCAAGTTCCATGTTCGACATTCTACCAAAATTTTAAAACTATACCTAAAGAAGTTGCTTACAGTCCTACGTTATAGCCACCATAACTCCCACTTACAGTCCCCCTCAGCTCCTTGTACCACCAAATCCAGCACTGTGCAAACTAGTAGATCAACTTATTTTTTTATTGGAAGCCCTGCATGAACAGTTGAACACCCCATTCAGATCACTTAATTACCTAAGTAATCAACCATCAAAACTGGAAGTTATTAGAGATATTTATGAAGATGAATGAACTACCACGGAGACCGTCATTTTCTGCTTGTTGTTTCGAAATACGCCAATGTCTTCTTTGCTTGAAAGTACCTGCATTCAAACATGAAAAGATAAACAGCTTTTTAGAAAGCACTCCTACACCTCGATTCTTCAAAACAGTGTTAAATGATCCCATATTTTTTTCCCTTCTTCAAATATCCTATAACCTTCTGGATTCTCTCCTTCCCATTTATGAAACACGAACAGTAGCCTGCTTGTCCATGCCATGCCAAAAAAAAGAGACAATTTGTCATGAAATAGTAGAGTAACTACACAACATCCTACCACTCAGAACAAACCTTACTATTAGATTGTTTCAACTTGAATCATAATAAGAAATTTAAACATGTTTACCTGATTACAGTCGGTGCACTGAAGTGAGGAAGATGAAATTGAAAAATTATGCTACATGGTCCTCTCTCATTTATTCAGGTGAGATTTCTGCAAAGCAACGAGTATGAATTAAAATCAGGCAAACACTTGAACAAAAAAAGCATAAAAAGGAAATATAGAAGATAAGTAGAGAACTCACTTGAAACGCAGAGTACCATGGAGTACCTTTTTTTTTTAGATAAATAATGAAGGAGCCTCAAGAATCTGCAAATTGCGATCTCTTACTCAATGAACTAAGAGCTGTTTTTGTAGGATAACATTCATTAGAAGATGAATGCAATTCAGTTTACCTTCATGTCTTGGCAGGAAGCTGAGGAAGCAATCTGAGTTGATAAGTCTGTACAAAGACCCTGAAATATATAACAAATGGAAACTACAGTTTAGCTAGGAGGAGGGAACCCTTCAAAATTAGACAACATAAATTTCCTGATGAGTGACTAACACAGACTGAGTAAGTAGGGTAATAATATGAGCAAGTCTAGGCAGTGAATTCGTGGGTTTGAAAAAGGGTGCTGCAAAATCAAACATGGTAGTGGTATAGTAGCAAGGTAATGAATCCCCCAATGGGTTTGCATAAACATCTACGTTCGAACAGTCAAGTCATAATCAAGAGAAACAAGAACAAACTTGAAAAAAATAATCAAAATGATAAGGGAATCCAGAACATACAAGATATCAACCTATTCCATTGTTGTAAGCCTTCCTTTCTCTGTACTAGAGATGTAGGTATGGTGGTTTCTCCTGCAATTTTAAACCCAATTTTCAAATAAAATCAGCAAAACCCAGCACAAGATCATATTCATCCAAAAGAAAATATCAAGTACTAACTATGGGGCTGTGATGGGAATTGACTAAGCCTATACATAACAACTTTCAACTAAACAGTGACTGTACGAACATATCTAGTACTGATTATCACTAGTAGATCAAGCTCACCAATAAATAGAATACGAAGCTGTTTATCTCCCTTGGGAATGCTCATAGAATTAGATCATCTTAGGGTTTCACATCCATCTTTAGCTGCATATTTTGGATCTGCAAACTCAGGAAGTCAACCAGGATAATATCCAATGAAATTAAACATGTTTAAAAGGAAATCAAAACATGTATAAAAACAACTTGAACTTTATATTTAAAGGAAAAACCTTGTCCTGTGTGCTCTGTGTGCTGTTTCAAAGTCTGGCTCTCTTGGAAGTTGTAGTGGTTATCCTCAGCTTCACAAGGAAATAGCTATGGTTAGGCAGCATTTGATGCTTAACTATTAATCAATGAAATAAAAATAAATCATGGTTAGTTCCCCATAGAAAAAAAAATCACTCTAACTTATGCACACTTCATAAGTAATCCAAGGGTTAGATACTCTTTACTCGTAATCCAAGGGTTATATACTCATAGGTAATTGCAATACTGTCTACAGTCTACAAAAAGACCATTCTCCAGACAAAACATTAACCAGAATGAATCTAGAATTAAAACCAAATCAAATACCCATTGTCACAACGTTGGTAGACTCCTACGATGCCATTGCAGTATCTATTCGATAAACAGGGCAAGCGTGCATCAACGGCTACCACCACCCAACATAACAAATAAAAACTTGCTTGTGTGCCTACCTCTGAATTTGAAGTTCCATTCCACCTTTGATGCTAGAATGCCTTACAGCTACAAGATGCCTTCCCCTGAAGTTTCCGATAAAAGCCATCTTAAAACTTAATAACAAATCCAGCACTCAAAATCTTACTAAAGATGCCCAGCACCTAAATCTAACTCCCAGAGCAGCAAAACAAACGCTCTGGGTAGGGTGCACGGGGAAGGAAGGAACATACCTAAGGTTGCATCTTGAATTCTGCAACAAGATCTTCCCGTGCACGCACTTTTGCTTCTGCGAAATACAAACCAAGCAACACTCAATCAATAAGAAGAGAATCCCTAAGATCAGGAGTCCACAGACTTATTAAGTTCTGCTACCTTTATGTACAACAAATAATTGGACAGCAGATTTGATTTCCATCTTGACCTTCCTTCTCCATTGTTCCTTGATCATCATCAACTGAAAACATCACTTTCAATTTTTCAAACTCTAATGCAGCCTGCAGATCTTACTGGAATTTACGAAAGTAATTTAATCATTGTCACATCTTGGCAAAACAATGGAAAGGAAGTAGGTATCTAAATACAATAACATGATCTATCTCAAGAATTTCATGCATTAGTACGCTACTGAATCACGGGCTGTGTTTATTCTGGCATGCAATAAACAGGTCTTGGCAAGCCACTAAAGGGTTCTAGAAAACAGGAATTTAAAATTCTATGTCTAAGTGCTGAGCCACAAATCAATTCTATATTCCCTTCATGGAATTCACACCTCAGCAAGTCACGGCTAGGTATTGCAGTTTCTATTCATGATAACTCTAAAACAGGACTACTAGTCTATCTTCTCTTCACTTCAGTCTACATAAGTACATAACACCATTGCAAATTTAGCCCCTTTGTATTCTCAACACCAAGAACTGAGTACACTTCTAATTTAGCCCCTTCAGTCTACATAAGTACATAACACCATTGCTCATCCATCCCTTCACATCAACATCAAAGATAGCTAACTAGCTCAGAATGGGTACTCAATACTTGGGTTTTGAGCAAATGGAAACTTAACCAGCATAAAGTAGTTCATGGGAACCACGGAGTTTGGTTCCAGCACAGGAAATTAAACTGAACTTTTAGGCATAAGACTTGCTCTTAAAGAATGAGAAGAAGTTAACCGACAGCAACAGAGAACAACATGCTGACTAATCAATCCACTCATCAGCAGCTTGAGAGAAATTCACCTCCTGTTATCCTCATTCATCTGCAAGCAAATAATAACTGTTCAATTCAGTTAGAGGCCATGGAGCTATGAAAGTTGTACTTGCTCACAGTATGCAAAGTTACTAGCACCCTTAGAGGTCGGAGAGATCTGAAAGCCGTACGTACTTCTTGCTCACGGTAAGCAAAGTTAGCACCCTTAAGACTTGGTTACCAGCACCATTAATTATATCAGATTGACCATACACACCTTCCCTCACAGCCTGTGGATGGGAGAGATGGATAGCTATAGGAGGGTATCTCTCCTGAGCAAATTTGACACCCACAAGTTAAAGAATTATGAATCATGAAAGAGCTATTGTTTAAATGGGAACTTTAGCAAGGAAAATTTTTAGTTATTCTTTCAATAAGAACTTCTACTAGGTAAATAGGAACCCAGAAATGAAACCAACCCAAGAAAAAAAGAAATTGAGAAGGAGTACGATCAAAATGATTGATTACTTTAAGCCTGCCTAAAGGCTAGAAGTGGAGATGACAAGGTTTAATCCATGTATACAGAGAGCACTGAACAGGGAATAAGATAATTTCTTTCTTTATTCCTTCTATACAGCAAATAACTACCTGATGTTTGTGGACAAGTTCAAATATTGGCAAACAAATACAATGGAAGCAAGCATGTAAGGTTTCTCTTATTAATTGAAGTTAGATAGTTCTCTGAGAACATTCATCGAATAGCTGGTGGACCAAATAATTAGAGTTCCAATGGAGAAGAACAGATTTCGTCGAATTCACATAACATTCAATTCAACTATGAAATTGAAATCGACGGAATAATTAGAAGGTCTGGATCTCTGCTTACCAGTTGCATGTAGTGTATTCTGGATTACCGAGATAGGATCTGACTTGAAGAACTCAACACGCGTTCCTCCCAACCCTTCTCTGGGAAGGAAGATTTGAAAATTCAGCTCGACGTCTGTTAATAATAATGAATCGGTGAAAGAGAGCCGCAATGTCGACAACGGAAGCAAGCTAAGAGGAGAGACAACGGAGAAGACTGTGGTGACACCGGCGGTGTTGACGCCGACAAAGCTCGGGGCGATAAATTGAAAATGAAACTAGGATTATGAATCATGCCAAATCAAGGTAAGATGAGTGAATAAAGGAGATCGTGAGTACCGGTGGCGGCATCAACGTCGGCAGGTATTGACGAATTGTTAGAGAACTGGAAATTGCCATCGAGAATTAGGGTTTCGAAAGTGCCATTGAAGAACTCTCTGTTCTTTTCTTTTTGAAAATAGAAAATAGTAAGAATTGGGCGGTGGGCTTTCTACTTTCAGAAGAGGAAACTTAAATATGTGAGCAATTTTTAATTCACGTTTATAAATCATAAGAGAATATCGCATTGCCACAAAAAAAAAAGAATATATAAGTAAGTAAATGACTAAATGTTTATTTGTTAAAGGTCAAGAATATATAAATAAATAGCACGAAGCCACGAACCCGTAATGGAGTCTGGGAGGAGGAAATGTTCATTTTCTATTTATCTTTTTATAAATAATTAAATTAAAATGGGTCTCGAAGAAATCAATAATGAAAATAATATATGTTAATAAAACATATAAATAAACACATTATGTGGACCCCACCGATTAGTTGAAAGTAGTGGGTTTCCTGACGGGTGACTAGACGGCACAAAGCTCCGTCAAATCAATACAATTAGCGACGGCTGAAGCTGGCTGTCATTAGAAGCTCGTCGCTAAATGCTCCTTTTCTTGTAGTGTATCAAAGGGAATTGCACGAGTCTCTGTAGCAGATTAGACAAGGAACATGAACAGTGGAGGAGTATTTCAAGGATTTGGAGCTGCTAATGATGCGTGCCAACGTAAGAGAAGATCAGGAACTAACGATAGCTCGTTTTCTTCATGGTTTGAATCGAGAGATTCGACAGGAAGTGGATCTTAGATCGTTTTTCGATCTGGAGGAAGCCCTTCACCTTGCAAGGTCGAGAAGCAACAGAAGACTACACGCAGACGGTTTGCTTCGACCATCAAGCCAGTGACCGAGCTGACTTCCGATTCCAATCCTCCATAGGTGGGCTCTGAACCCAGCAAAGCTCCGACTAAGAAAGTTGTCCTAGATGCTATAGAAAGAACTGGAGGAATCCAGTTCTTTAAGTGTCACGGAAGGGGAAACAAGGCAAATCAGTGCCCCAATTCGAAGACACTTGTGCTCAAAGATGGTGAGTACGTTACCGACGACGAGCTATCGGATTCTGGTGACGAGGAGAGGGTTGACGAGCACATTAAGGTGTAAACGCCAACTAGAAAGATACTGGGAGTCAGCCACTGAGCCCTTACCGTAGAGAGTTTGCCGGATTTCGGTTAGAGGGAAACTCGTTTCACTCGCGATGTGAGGTGAATGGAAAATTGTTGACGGGAAGTTGCGCCAACGTCATCAGTAGCTCGGATTGAGCACGTTGAGACATTCAGATCCCTATAACCTACATTGGCTCAACGACAACGAAGCAATTCGAGTGACCAAACGAGCGAAGGTGGGCTTTCAAATCGGAGAGTACAGGGACGAGTTGGAATTTGACATAGCTCTGATGCATGCAACTCACGTTTTGCTGGGACGGCCCTGGCAATTTGATCGGGGTGTCAGCCATGATGGAAGAAGGAACCGGTACCAGGTCCGACACCAAGGAAAGAAATTTGTGCTGAAATCATTGACGCTAGAGGAAGTGCGGGACGATCGACGACAAATGGTGGCCAACCAATAAAGATAAAAAGGAAAATCATCTGAGGGCTCTAGTCCTACTCTTCTCCTCACCCGATGCTTCATGCTCACTGGGTTCAGGAAGAAGCAAACTCCGCGTCGACGATGAAGCTGTGTCTCGCCGGAGCAGTGCAGGAGAGAGGGTCTATTGGCCAGACTAGTGGAAGGAGATTCGAGCCAAGAGGAAAGCGACAACACGTTGCAAATCATCGCTGGAAACTTAAATGATGGTGGAAATGGAACTAAATCATTTGGATTGCATAATAAAATTCGACCAGAAAGTGCCCTGAAACCCGAAGAACTCGAAGAAAAATTGAGTGAATGGGATTGAACAATTGGGAGTGATGTGTTTCAATCTTGTTGCAGAACCATTCAATATGATCACGGTATGCTCTAGGATCAATCACGATTGAACTTTCTGGGTTTAGAGAGTTTGAATGACGACGATAGCGAGAAAGAAACTGGGGCCGATTCGTTGACAAAAACGATGATTCGAATCACGAGACTCGTCCAGAACTTCAATTCAAAGCACGATGAAGCCATGGGTGGCCTTGAATTTCACTACGGATTCCTGAATTTGAAAGCTCCAATTTCGCACATGAAGAACATTGACCTAGTTTTCCAGAATTTCGTGTTTGAGCAGCCCTTTTCAGATCCAATTTGGGATTAATTCTGTGATCGATTTGAGCAACGAAAGGCCAAAGTTTTGAGAGCAAAATTTTTTGAAGAGGGGGGCCTAATATGATCTCAAATTACTTGCTTTCCAAGTCTCCATTGAGTGTCAAAGAAGCAAGGGCAAGTGAAAGGGAACAATCTGAAAATTGTTTAAGTGTTCTAACTTTGTAGGAAGCCAAATTTACAAGCTTCGTCGACACAAATGGATCGATGAAAATGAGGGATTCATGGCTTGTTTGCAAGAATAAGTGTTTATTTATACATTTGCAAGCTCCAGCTCAAGGAGAAGTCAGGAAGGTCATTTTCCAAGCTCACCAAAATCCTTCCTCAAAACAGGAAAACAACCAAAATTTGGCCAAGTGTCGGAACTAGTTTCAGTACCCGACTTTGATGGCTTCTTCAAGGAAGATGGAGAGGAATCTATCCAAGAGGGCTATACAACATGAAAATAGAGGATTTCTACTACAACCTAGAGGCATTGGATGACTGGAATAAAGAGAGGACTTTGAACGAGGGCCAGCAAGATTGTACAAAGCCTGAAGAAACTTCCTTGCTTGATCAAGAATCTGAATCCTATTCGGATTAGGATTGCGACTAGGGTTCTTTACCTTTCTGTTTTGAGTTCAATTTCCAAGTTTGTTTGTGATTGGAACTTGGTATTAGTTTGTTAGCTAGCCTAGGTCTATTTAAGGTCATTCAACTGCGTTTCAACTCAGTTTTTTTATCAATCGAATACAAAGTAAAGCTTTGATTCATCTTGCTTGTTGCTTGACGAATTGAGTTGGTTGCTTAGGGTTTTCCAAGCGATCGAGTGCTTGTATCGTTCAGCTAATCACGGTGTTCGTGGCCAGGCTTCTACCCATAGTTCTCGAGCCTTTCTCCCTTTGTGAGAATTGCATGAAACTCCCATCCCAACACCAAATTCTATACCATGTTTTGTGGAGTTCTTGTTCGAGTGAGTCTAATCCAAGGTTCGAGAACTCCTTAGCTGCACGATTCTGGATTACAACCCTCCTAGGGTCGTATTACGAACTGGTAAACAAGAGCATTGTTCGCTCTCCCCATGATTGGCTGCATAAAGAAATGAACTTCCCCAATTCTGACTGCTCTGATTTTGATAATGCAGATAATTAACGAAGCCATACTTGAAGTGATTGGAGTTGATATCGGGAAGGGTCTGGATATTCATTCCTCTGTAGAAGGGACTCACCTTTGTACTTCGGATTAACAAATTAGGATGCAACTTTGTGGGAGGATGTACAATAAGGGTGTTTTTACTTGTTAGTACAGAAGAGGTTATTTCTTCAACGTTCATATAGATGTCTTTAATGGTATCATTTTGATGTACAACAGCAGCATCCAGCTTTTATTCTTTTGCTTATCAAACAAGACCTTACAGTTACAGAGCTCTACCAGTTCGAGCATCTATAACAGGAACGCTGTTGGAGGATTCATTGACTCTTAGTGCCTCGGCAAGAGATAAGCGACTGTTTCTCCAATGAGCTTCTGCCCAACATTTCATCTTCTCTCCTTCACTCTTTCTGTTATCTTGAACACTAAGTGCTTCTGCGTAGCCAGCTGGATTGTCATACGAAATCCCACTTCTTAATTGGCTCAATGTGGAGTGACTATGTTGTGTGCACCATAAACGAGAAAACAATCTCGGAACAAATATGAGAAAATGTTCAAAACCTACCTCGTGCAAGGGCGGCGATGTCCCTCCAAGCTCCCATTGTTTGATTAACTAGGGAAATTCAAAAGATAATTTTGGATTTTAATATGCTGAAAACAAACTGGGTCAGGGACCTAGAAAGAGAATAAAAAACTCTCCGGTACCTTCAAAATCAACTGATGGAACTTTCAGCAACTCGATTGCTCTTCTATAGAGTCCCTGTGCATATCAAAACAAGTGAGTGAATCATCAGAGTTAATGCCAAAGTACAAATGGCTTATAAGCTGGTGACAGATATAGCCATATAATGGATTGTAAGACTCAACAGATATTGAATGTCGGAATTGAGACCTCCTGAATCAAGAGAGAGCTTGAGTGCTCTTGTGTTGCTTTCTGCCGGAACATGAGTGCCAAGCAAGTCAAGACTACTCCAACCCTAGGGTGCCGAGGACCTAAAATCACAGTAAGAGAGCAGATAATGAATGAGATTAACAAGATATCTAGGAAATCTATGCACACCAAAAGGAGACAATTCGAAAGGATGCACCATATAATAACTCAGCCCTGTTCAGTGCCTTGGTTAATGTTTCTTCCGCATCATCAAATTTCCTGAAAACGGATATCAGATGTCTAATGGAAAAACCATATAATAAAATATATCTAAAGGAACTGTGTTAGCCGAGAAGAAGCAAAAGTAAATAAAAGGGTACCCCATGTGTGCTTCAAGCTGTCCCAGGGCACAAGTGGCTGCTATCTGAACTTGATCTGAAGCCATGTTGCAAGCTGTTAATGCATTGCTGTCATTGAACTCTTTGTTATAAGCCTCTCCTTCAGTAACCTTCTGATAGAATTCCTTTGCCAATGTGAAATTTCGTGTGGCGTGCAAGAATTCTCCATATGACAAAGCAGCAGACCCTATAAATCATTATATCAGCAATGCAGTCTCCAAATGTATAATCCAATATGGCTTAAAATTTACAATTATGAGATGTTTACCAACACAGTCATCATTTCCCAGTAATCCTCCAAAGTGTGATTCAGCTATGAACAAGCAGCCATGAGTTTGAGTAAATTAGACCATATATTAGAACCTCAATCAAGCAAAGCCATTAAAAAGCAACAAACCTGCTTTAAAATTGCCACGAACAGACTCAACAAAACCTTTGAGTGCCTTTGCACGAGCATCTGCAACCTCTAAACCAGCACCGGTACTGGCTAACTCGTCTAAAACTAACAGAGCTGAACATTTATCTGCGAGCACCGATGAAGCATCATCCTATATAAGAAAGAACCATCTCCAGGTAAATTCTGAATCCGGCTGAACAAAAACAAAATTCACCAATTACAAAGGAAGAAATAAGAAATTGTCTAGACGACTTACATTCCCCAACTCCAAGCTCAGTCCAACAAGAGCTTCCAAGGCAGCAACTGCAACTTGGCACAACTACAACTGTCGTATCAAAAATTCTCTTTAAAATGTACCTAACAGAAGTGAAACTTCCAACCTTTAACACCCAAAGATGCCTTCTGTAGCTCATGTGTTCTCCGTAGATGCTCCAATGCCTCGTTGAAGTTCCCCCTAACCATCGACACCAAACCAACATGAACAACACAGGAGAGAACTAATCCACAAAATCTACTACTACTACTAGGTTAGAAAGCCTGAACCTTTCAAACGAGAGATTGGCCATGGCGAGTAGGACCATTCCCTTGGAGTTCTGGGACACAAAATCTTCACCACCACTTGGCTGCGAAGCCAGGCACTGCTCCAGCACCAGCATAGCTTCCCCATACGATTCATCTGATTGACAGCCCACTTAAGGAAACCCAGAGACGAAAAAGACGGAAGTAGAAATGGAAACTAACTGACGAAAAGTGAAAAGTACCCGACTTTTGAGCACGTGGAACGGAGAGAGCGTAGTCGATCATCTGAATGGTAACTGGATTGGCATTGGGACTGGTGATTCTCTCGTGAAGCGACCGTGATGCCGCCGCCGACGGAGCGAAAATTGTTGGCTTGCGAGAGTTGAATCCCGAATGCGCAGTCTTGACGACAGTGGTTGCTGCACGGGATAGTCTGAACGCCGACCGAATCATCATCACCGGTTGCTAATTCTAACCCTTCTCTTCTTCTGTAATCGGTGGAGATCGGAAATTTCAAAAACCCTCTAAAATTCAGTTGCAGACGAGTTTTTCTACTGTATTAGGGTGGTAGTAGAAGAACAGCGAAGCTCGTGAAAACAGTAAAGCGAAACGGTGAGATTTGGCGGGGGATAAGTAGGGGTGGGCGGGAGGGTAATCCGCTATTTGACATCGGTCCAACTGCAAATAATCCAAACTGCGATAGATGATTGATTGATGTGGGTGAATTGTGGATCAATAAATTTCATATCCGCACTTATCGGGTGGTTGATGGGTGAGTTGCAGGTCATCCAAATGGTATGCACTTCATCTTTACATGGAAAATAGTTGTTGCTTATTTATCTAACGAATAGTCATCGTATTTCTTAATCGCCAGTCGCCACTACATACTAATCATAGACTCCTAAGACTAAAAATAAAGAATATTTTAAGGCTACTACTATTGGTCACTAAGTTGTGTAATGTCCATAGGTATTGAGATCCAAATGATAAGCTATTAATTATATCTATGTAGAAGAAGAAAAAAAAGTGTACTTTCATACATAATTAGTTGATAAAGATTTACTAACTTGATCGTTGGAGAGACACAAGAACATATATTCAGGGAGTATGGTTGGGTTCGACGAGTCTGGCGCCCTAGTCCTATGAATCAGCTATTCATACAATGTGAGGAATTGACCTGAGTGGTTTTGTGAATTGCAGGCGAAGGTGGAGGATGGAAGAATGGGAAATCATGGCAAAGGCAGACGTATGGCTAGATGAATACCTGGAATTGCAGAGGAGAACCTAGAATCCGGACCCAAAATTCGTGCTCGATGGAAACACCCCGTGCATGCGAAATTTAAGATCAATGTTGACACAACCTGTCTACCCAGAGCGGGGCACTAGCCTGGGCGTGGTGGTGGGGATAAGGAAGGTCGTTTTCGTCTGCTAGCGGTGTGACGAACTCGTCGCCTTTGGGTTCCGGAGGTGGCAGAGGCTATGGCGGTGGCTTTTTGTTTGAAAATGGTGTCGTGTTTCCACATTTTCTCAGGAACGATTGAAATGGATTGCCAGGTGGTTGAGAAGCACCTACCTGGCTCACTATCGTACAATCTTGAGGTGGGTCGGGTTTGTAGTGAGATAAAAGATGAAGTCGAGTTACTAAATGAGGTGGAGTGGAATTTGTGGGCCGAGATGCAAACGGGCCAGCCATATCATGGCCCATACAGAATGCAGATGGCAAGAATAGGAGTTATGGATTGATAGACCACCAGTTTTTTCTGCTCTTATTTGCTAGATGATTTCATGTCATCAAACACTTTTGATTTATAAAAGTTGGCAGATATATTTATCAAAAGAAAAATAACTTGATTGTTGGAGAGTATCCGAGGCCCCCGCCTCTGGATCCCTTTTGTAGGAGCCTTTCATCCCCACTAGAGGGTAAGGCATGGTCTCAACATGAGCGGCTTCAATCCCGCCTAGTAGTTCTTGTGCTTAAACAATTTAGCGCCAAATCGTTGGGCAGCATTTGAAGAGATCACAATTTCCTAGTTTGGTAGCGAGAGAGTCCACGACCCCTCTGAAAGGAGTTACCAAAAACAGAACGATGCGCAGATTGTCCCCCGGAGTGGAAAATGAAATGGAAATCTACTATAGATTCAAGATTCATGGGAGACAAATATCCGAAATGCAAAACAATATCAGTCAAATGCTCTCTTTTGTGAAGGAAGGAATGAAGGAGCAAGACAACATACTATGGGCGTTTGACGCACGCAAAGACAAAGGGAAGAAAAAGATGGTGGTAGTGTGATAACACATAAATTGGCGTTATTTTCCCTTCATGATTATGTTTTTCATGCTAATTCATGTGCATAATCATTTGAATAGCGTCGATTGCATCCTTATTTCATTCCTATTTGATTATGATGTGATTTTAGAGTGCTTTAGACTATACATGTGAATTAGGTACGAAAAAGGACACAAGTATAGGAAAAGGGCCAGAATGTTGATGATCACGACCTGGAGATGGAGATCACAGCCGAGAACACAGACTGCAAACTCAAGGCAAAGATCGCGGCCTCGGAGCCCAAGATTGCAGTCGCGAATCTGGAGGCTTTGGCGTGAACTTCGTAAAGAAGCCAGCCGATAAGAAGCAAAGAGTTTCCTCAGTCCACTCATGGCCCCAGTTCACATTGACCGCGAGGAAGTCGCTGCCGCGCTTCATGGATCGTGACCATGAAGTCAGCCCGCGAACCCCTCATTCCTTAAGGCCAAAATGGCGGCGTCGGCAGATCATGGCCTCAAGGTGAAAGATCGCTACCACGATCTTCATACTGCCTGGTCGTGAAATTCTTCGTCCTCTAAATGCTATAAATATAAGACCCCCCCCCCCCTCCCCCCATTCAAAAGAGCTGATTTTGAGACAGAATTCTTGGTTAGAGAGAGAGAGAGAGAAGCTGGAGGAAGTAGAAGAGGAGAAGGAGGAGGAGGAGCTAGAAGAGAGGAGCCACCTTCCTCAATATCAAGTCTTCCCCAATCTCTTCTAAGTATCTTCTTCCCTCCTTAATGGAGTAGTCTCCTAAGGTACTAGGGGTTCTAAACTCCAAACCCTATTTCTAGGGACACTATGTAATGAATGGATATTTTAGGATTTTAATGAATGGATTTGTTTATCTAGTTTATTTCAGTGTTTCTCTAGCTTTGATTGTGTTTGGGTAAGTCGCCTTAATCTTCTCTCCAAGCCTACTTGAGCTTCTACGCTGGGTATGGAGTTTTAGGGTTAGACGGGTATGCACCATCAAGCAAATTGAGGTTAGATGTATGATAGGATCTTATGGTGAACGAGGCAATCGTGTCCCTGCCATAGGAATGCCTTCCTTGATAGAACCCGGGATAAAACCATAGTGTGGATGGTGGGTAGTACCCATTGAAATTAGCTATGTTCTTAATTCCCTAGATACGATAGCCTAGATCGAGGTGACTGACATGGGTTTAGGAGAGGAGTACTTGGAGGCATGCGAATAACCACGAAAGCCCATGGAAAAGAGCTCACTCACCACATTCGACAAACCCTGCTTATCTAGACATTGCATAGTAGACCTAGGCTTGGGTGAGGGATAGTTCCCCGAACTACCTGTTGTTATTCTTATTTGTTCTCTCTACTAGTTATTTTGCTTGAATCCTCCAACACAAACCCTTAAACCTATCGGCTAGATAATAACAACGTGGGAAGTAGGCTAGGGTACCGAGTGAATACGACCTTGATTGCCACTGTATGACAACACCACTCTAGGTTAAACTTGGCCTAGGATGGGGTAGTTATTGAAACGTGCTAACTATTGACAATGACTTGCACGGAATGAATAGATGAAGCATTTTGGCGCCGTTGCCGGGGACCCTCGGTAACTAGTAGAAAACCATCGAGTTGTTAGTTTAGCCTTTATTTTCTTTGTTTTGTTTGTGTTTGTGTTTGCGGTATTTCCGTAGTTTTTATCGTTTTTTGTTTTGTTATCCAACTTTGTGCGTCATGGGTCGTTGAGTTTTTGTCTTGTAGCACTTTTGTATGCAAAGAAGGGAGTCTTTGGAGATATTACCTCTTGATACAGAAATTGAGAGAACCCTTCAAAATCTAAGAAGAGTTATGAGACATCAACCTACACCAATGGCGGATCAACAACAACAACCTCAAGTTCCACCAAGGCCTATAACATTAGGATTTTACTCAAGGCCAAGTGTGGATAATGTTCAATCACCTATTATTCACCCAAAAGTGTCGAACAACAGCTATGAGATAAATTTGGGCACAGTTTTGATGCTTCAAAGTGAGGTTCAATTCAATGGGATGATGAGTGAAGAGGTTTCCTCAAGAGGCAATTCATCTTAGGTTAATTTGGTTTACTCTAAATGGAGTTGCAAAGTAATGGTTGAATAATAATCCCCATCACTACATCGTCTCGTGGGATGATCTATGCAACAAGCTCTTTGCACGGTACATTCCACCTTCTAAGACGACTCTAATAAGAAGCGAGATTACTATGTTCCGTCAAGAGAAGGATGAACAATTGTTTGAAGCATGGGAAGGTTTACATCTCCCCTACTCAAATGTCCACAATATGGTATCGCCAATTGGTTATAAATGGAAAGGTTATATAATGGTTTAACAAGGGAGTCACGCCATCTCATCGATGCAGCTAGTGGAGGTGTCATAAGGAACAAGGAAGTCGGTGAATTTCAAAGATTGATTGAAGAAATGGCCCTAAATAGCTACGATTTGGGGGGACGGAAGGAGAGGAAAGATTGCAAAGAAGGGAAGTTTATTAAAAATTGAAGAACAATCGTCGTTAGTTGTTCATATACAAGAACTTTCCAAGAAAATTGATGAAGTTGCATCATCAATGAAAGGAAATGGGAAGCAACTCATGAAATGTGATTGGTGTGGCAATTCGAGCCGCACCATGGAGGAGTGTAAGTAATTAAATAATTGAGGCCTCAATACAATTTGAGCAAGAAAACTTTGTTGGAGGGAAATCCCGAGGAAACAAACCTTATAGATCCACATATAATCCGGGTTGGAGGAACTATCCTAACTTTCTTTGGTCTTCTCCGACGGATAGAAAGCCTCAGGGTCTCAATCTCAAGCTCCTATGCAAAATGCTTACCCAAGGCCGAGTCAACCCTCATACCAAGGAGCATACCAAGAACAAAGTCGACCATCCGAAGGTCGAGTCTCTAAACTTGAAGACTTGGTAGGCCAATACGTTACACACTCCAACAAGAATTTTGAGGCTATTGACAAGTTCGTAGAGAATACTACGACCAAATTCTCAAGTTTGGAAGCGGGTCAAAGGAATCAAAAATCTTCACTCCAAAATCATGAAGCCCAACTAAGCTCGTTGGCTAGCTCTATAGTGAAGACCACAAGTAACTTTACTGGGCAATATTAAGCCTATTCCTACGGAGGGATGTCATGCAGTAACTCTAAGGAGTGGCCGACCATTTATGGAGGTTCCTATTTCAACACCGAGGATACCGGTAAGAGAAGTTCAATGATAACGATGTAATTGCACATGTTTGCGCCCCTAGTTCTTATCCGTTTGAGGAGTATAGT